GATTCCTTCAAGTCAATCAGATCTATAACCAGGGACACAGGCGTGTCTGGGTTTCTTATTAGGGAGATAGTGCATGAAGACATACAAAATGGACGATTTTTATTCAAAGCTTTGAAGCACAAAAGAAAAGACCGCGCTAATAATCTTTTCAAGCATCTCCTCCAACCGACCACGTTTTGGTCTTTCTCAGACGAGAAATATTTCTGCCTGGGTAAGATGGTAAACACACAGAACAGCCATTGGTTTGAAGAGTCCCCAAAAGATGTATCGAGAGTGATGAAAACCAAATATCCGTCAACATCATGGTGTCTGGAGTGATCAATAATGATGGCGACGTTATACCTCCATTCATCATCTCACATGGCATCAGATTCAACACAGAGGTCTACATCAAATGCCTTGTGGAAGTAACGCTGCCCTGGATCAAGAGGGAGGCTACTGGAAGACCCTAAAACAAGAGGACTCTGCACCATGCCACACAAGAAGGAGAACCCAGTCATGGCTGCCAGACAATTTTTGCAACCAAATTCCCCCTTACATCTGGCCACCTAACTCCCCAGACAAAAACCCTTTGATTATTATGTGTATAGAGTGATTGGTCGAGACTCCAAGAAAATTACTTATAACACCAAAGACGAACTGAAGGCAAGCATTATGGCATCATTCCCTAAATTTAGCAACGAGACCGCTCAGATTTGCAGGAGATTTCGAAGTTGTGTGGTGGCCGTGGTTAAAGCCATTGGCGATTTTATTGAATAAATTTACTCTTTAGTATTTCAAGATATTTTTCGTAATTTTAGTAAATATATTTGTTAAAATGCAATGTCAGTGTTACTTTCATGTTCGCCTAATTTAGACGAGAATTTATCTATCGCACCATTTAAATATTCCATGGTCAAAAGAACTTCCCTTCGATTGGGATGACTTACTCCTAAATCTATTTCCCTTGTCTAAGTTCGTATGGATGTGCAGGTGGTGTATAGATAGAGGCTTCTTCTTCTTCGGCAGGTGTACCATCCTCACCAGGAGCCTTGTTGTTACGCATATGGCGCAGAATATCTCGCACTTCATCTACCGTTGGGGGTGCAGTGTTGCAGTCGTATTCATGGGTCGGTTCAACGGCCTGTGTCCCCGTCCTCTTCCAACCGTCGTGCTCCAGCGCCGTCTCTGATGGTTCGGGCACGCATCTCGACGCCCGGAGGGAGAGTTCATCCGCGATGTACTTTTCCCTCCTTCTCTTCCTGGCTGGCGAAAACGTGTAGGTGGGCAGCTGAGGACGTGGGTTAGCACAATCAAGGATGACCTAGCAGTACTATCGGGTCCACACGTAGTTGGTCTTCGACGATGGAATTGCCATTGGCTCGCCATTTCGCCTGACATGGCTCAGGATCTGCGAGTGTGGGCAGCGATGGTCCGTGATGGTGTACTTGCTCGGGAGGAAGCCGGTTCAACCCGACCAGGATGAAAACCGATACAAGTCAAATGTCAAAAAGTCTTCTTCTTCTTCTTTGTGTCATCTCCCTTCAGAACGCTTGCGATCATGGCCCTCTACATCTACCCTTCCCTTGTAGTTCTTAATAAGTTTTGTCTTTTTTATTATTTCTTCTAAAACTTGTTCTACCATCCAGGCTTCTTTCCTCTGTCCCTCTTTCTATCAGTCTGTCTTGTGAGTATCAGATTTTACAAGCCTTCCTTCCTCATTATGTGCCTCAGAAATTCCAAGTGCCTCTTGATGAGGTTAACTATAAGTTTCCTTTTCGTTTCCATTTCTTTAAAACCTCGTCGTTGTTCGGGCCATGTTATCCTCAGCATCTATCGAATTAGTTAAATTTATCCTCACGTAGATTAACCTTGGAGAAGTTATGAATCCATCTCTCCTCCCCCAGAAATCTGTTAAATAGCCGAACAGACTGGGTTCGCTAGGCGCGGTTGGTAACCAGAATAGGAGGAAAACACTTAAATCAAAACAGCATGTAACCCTGGCGTAGCACATTGACAAGATACCATGATAACGCTTTTATCTCCATTTCAGTCGAAGTAAAGAATATATTCTTCATTGTATTAGTATTCTAATCTTAGTTATTTAGTAAAAAATACATTTTTTCTTGAGAACACTATCGTCATCATTGTTATGACCCTCTCTTTCATAATCCTCACAATATCATCTTCATAAGCTAAATAATCACACACACACACACACACACACACACACACACACACACACACACATATATATATATATATATATATATATATATAAAAGTGAACATTGAAGTCAACACTTAGAGGCGACAGGCTGTTTCATGTCAAACGACTTCCGGCAAAATAACCGCCAAAATAGACTACCCACAACAATGCACCACAGACTCGTATATATAAATAGCTGAGAAAAAAAACAACACTCGTGGCGTGACGATTGCGTCTAGCATGAAACAACAACATGTCGCCTCTAAGTGTTGATTTCAATGTTCACTTTTATATTTACACAGGATCTATCTCTGATATTGAGCACTTTTTATATATATATATATATATATATATATATATATATATATATATATATATATATATATATGGGTATACCAAAAAGGAGGATAAAATCCAGAGAGCGCAATGTAAATCCAGAGCAAATAATTTAAATAAAACAGACCACTTTAAGGTTCCATTTAATAAATCATTTCACCATAGCCCTTTTAAAGGATTGCGGATCATCAGACTTTACGTCCAAACAAAAAATGAAAAAAATTACACATTTTTGACGGGCCCTATTAAACATATGTAAATTAACGAAGTGAGGAAGTGAGGGGGAGGGAGATGACATGGGTGAGTTAGCAGATGTTAAGTTATGTCTTCTCTCTCCCCTCACTTCCTCACTTCGTTAATTTACATATGTTTAATACGGCCCGTCAAAAATGTAAATTTTTTTTAATTTTTGTTTGAAGCAAAGTTCGATCATCGCAGTGATCCTTTAAAAGGCTGTGGTGAAATAATTTATTACATGGAACTTTAAAGTGGTCTGTTTTATTATATATATATATATATATATATATATATATATATATATAAAGGTTAACATTAAGTTAATGAAGAATGAGAATTTAAAGCATAGAAATATTCTCATTTGTTCAGATCGTCTGGTCATCGCCTGACTGGCAATATCTAAATAAAACCTCTACTATCTCAGCCAATGCCGACGCCAGTGCCGTGATCGATGAGGATATGCAAGATATTTAACAAGTGTCTCCAGATTTGAAGAGGTTAAGCAATCATTGCAGAAACATCCTCTCGGGAGTTGGTTCCACAAAGTTGCAGCTCTTGGGAATAACCTGTCTGAGTGGAACATCCTCTTTACAAATGGAATACGAAATAAATAAGTATGAGTCTACCAAGTGGTCAAAGCATGGCACTTGATAGCTGTAGAGGTCTGCGACTGGTCGTTGGAACTAAAGATCGTACCCCGTCTGAATAATTTGCCGTGGAAATAGGGACATATTAAAGATAGTCTTGCGTCGTCCCGTCTGTGGGAAAGAGTTTGAAAATACTTCATCACCCGCAAGGTCGCGTAAGACCTTTCATCTCTGGCAATGCTTAAAAATGTGAACTGCGCGGTTCCAGTCCAGATATGACAGAAATACTCCGTTTTTTTATATAAAGTTAGATCATGGTAGGTGGTGTCAGGTACCTTCTGGACCGTTACTATTAGCATATAGTTTTTCCAGCATCTTTAAGTTAGGATCTCATATAGGAGTTCGACATGAGGTCAGAGGTGAAATTAAGTCCCAATAGAATGTTCAAAGTATGGAGTCTATTTGGGAGTAGAACACTGTAATCGATATCTTCCCATATTGTGCTTTTCAAGCCTTAGAAGATCGGATCAAGTATCGAACAAGAAAAATACCAGCTTAACGACATATTTTGAAAAGCTGTCCGCCTGGGTCAGAAACAAAACAACACAAAATAAAAATTTAAAAAAAAATTAATGGAATGTATTCAAAAGGATTGATAACCCCAACAAATATTTACAGTCTATATCGATCTATTTGTCTTTTATACTTGTCTCAAGACTGTAATTGTAAACATGGCCGACCGGGCACAGGCGCCATGGCTGAAATATTTTCTAACTTTAGCAGGCGGGGCTTGAGCTGACTTGAATCAGAAAGTAGTCTTTTCGACTGGTCAAAATTACTTTCATCTACGATTTGTGTCAAATTAAGACGTATGAAAGATTTTTAAAAGTTATGTATAACCGCTTATTGACAGGGATCGAAATAATAACTGGAATACATGTTATACATTGGTGAGTTTTAATAAATTTACGTTATATTTTTAAGAAAAAAAGTTAAGCAAATTCATTTCCTCAACTCGGAACCATACAAACGGAAGAAGTCGAAAAGAAAGAAGGAGTTACGGAAATGAAGAATCTACTCTCGAGGGTCGGCTGGAAATCGTAGAGGAAATCAATAATAATTAAGGCAAGGTCGACCAAAGCCAAAGGCGCCTTAGTTTCTCTTCAGCGCAATACCCCGGGGCTTTCCATACATATCTTCTATTTTATAAAACGGTCTATAATTGTATTCGTTTCCCATCTTTTGAACAGGAGCAGTTTTTATCCGTTGTTTCCAGTTTAGGATTGGGTTTCAAGTTCCTTCTAAAGTCTTTACATTCTCTTTCCCGCCCATTAACTCCATGCGTCTTAGTAGAATTATCGCCTTTCTTGGAGTGAAACGATTAATAATAAAAGAATTAAGGCAATAGAGATCTCAAGTCGAGTAATTGTTATAGCTCTTTCTAGTATTTATTCGAGCTTTCCTTCCTAACCTTTTGTTTAACGTACTGTGGAATGTGAACATCTTCATTTCTCTTCGATGTGCTATCCACTTTATCTGTTGCCGCTGTTTAAACTCCTCATTTAATGTGGTTTAGCCATTTTTGCCTCTTACATTCACCTGCTTCGTCGGGAACTCAAATTCTGTCCACTGTCTATTGGTGTACAGACATATAGCGTTGAAACACTGGTTCCAGTACAATCACCGAAGTTAAGCAACGTCGAGCCTGGTTAGTACCGAGATGGATGTCTGCTTGGGAATATCAGGGGTTATAAACTTGGATGTGCGGGTGTTGTAATGGATATCGGCTACGAATTTTTAATCGGAGAGCAGAGTTTCAATTCTTGTTGGGTTCTTTATAGATTCACTTACGCGCAATTACCCTTGGGAAATGTATGAATCCACCTCTTCTCTCTCAGCTATGGGTTAATTAGTTGGATTTGTATCACTAAATCATTATCATCTCTCGACGACACTCAAAAACTTTTTTACAATCGAAAAATATATTCTGGAATTGAATGACTGTGGAAACTTGACTAATGCATGGAATAATAATGCAACACAAAATGTACTTAGAACAAAATGTATTGAAACAAGAAAGTGTACACAATATTTATATATAGTCTTTTGTATATTCCTGGTAAGACCGTTCCTGGAGAATGTGTTGACTGAGTCGCAGTTGGGCAGAGTCTCTGGTTGAATCTCTTGATTCCTCCCTCACTTCCCGGTACCAACCATATTTATATGGTCGGTACTCCACTATGCAAGTTAGGTGGATCCTACCACAACAATAACATACATATGTATTTGATGTGGGGCCAAAGTTGGGACCACAGAAGGAAAACACGGAACACGGATTAGATGTAAGAAAGATATATTAACAACGGGTTACAAAGATAGTGTAAGCGGACCTTACTATATGTTAGTGTCCCATACTGGTAGTCGTACGCGACTCTCGCTCTCTCTCTCTATCTTGAGTGTTGTGTCTCATACTTAATATAGACCTGGAAGAGTCTATTGTGTAGGTAGTTCCGGTCTCACAATAGTATGGTAATTCGTATAAAACGAATCAATCAATTAATCCCGTCATAGATCTTCGATTCATAGGACGTAGATTTTAGAGATATCTCATAGGAAAAAAAGCATCTTATAAGTTGCAATATACGGTATTATTATTATTATTATTATTATTATTATTATTATTATATCGCTGGAGTTATGCCAGCTCGTGCTGAGTAGAGTTAAGTTATTTGCACAGTGAGTTTGTGAGAGACAAGTATATTTAAAATATCATCAATATATACGTCCCCAAAATGTTGATTGACACAGCCGTATCGGGAAAAAAATTGTTCGAAAATAAGTTTTCGAAAGTAATTATTTGACAAACATTTATTCGAATTGTAAATTGTTTGAATGGCAATCCGTGAAATACCGCGACGTAAATGGAAAACTTTAAAAAATTTAGTAGCATTCTTTAACGATTACTCTTCAGTAGTTGACTATTTGCGTGCAGTATCATGTAACTTAAGGTTATAAGGATTTTTGTCACCAAATTGTTTTATTAACGATATTTATATTATATAGAACTATTATACTAAATAAGAATTGTTCAAAATGCAAATTATTGGAAATATCTATGTTTGAAATACGTAGTTTTGCTTTGAGAGAGCTAATACTGATTTACCTAGAACTAATAACACCTTTGAAGGTTTTCTTGCAGCAAGTGTCCTCCTAACATCCCACAATATGGAAATTCTTAGACGCTCTTAAAAGAGAACAGGACTTGCAAGAAATTCCTATTACAAAAGTAAGACCAGGTTGCCAAAATATCAAGAGCGCCAAGAAATACCGGGACGTAAATAGAAAATAGAAAATAGAAATTGGTAGCATCATTTAACGAGCACTCTTCAGTTGTTGACTATTTACGTGCAGTATCATATAACTTAAGGTCATAAGAATTTTTCTTACTAAATAGTTTTATCACCGATAATTGTATTTTGAATAATTATTATTTGCATATTTTCTCTTTTAATTTTTACATTTTTATTGCAATAAAGAATTTTGCATTTCGAATAATTATCATGTAGTATAACTGTCCTTTCGAATAATTTTTATTCAAATAATTTACAATTAGAATAAATATTTTTTTGAATCATTGTCTTCGAACAATGTTCCCATAATCGACAAAGAGTTGTTTTTATGTGGTGTATAAAAATTGTTCGGTGTGGACAGTATGTGAAGAAAGCAGTTTGGGTAAAGATAGTAAGTTGTATCGGAATTCCCGGAAATTTCTTAGTAACCAGTGTCAAACCGGCATCCACAAGGCAGTCACATAAAATTTATCTGGAAACTAATTAATTTTTTCTCCGTATTTTTAAGATTGAAAGATTGCAGCCAAAATTTCTCTTCGGTAAAAACGGTAGAATGAATATAACACAGCTTTTTCTGCTTAGTCTCTTTCTTTGAAATGAAAAAGAATATTTCCTTGTCCTCGAAGTTTCCTAGACAATTAAATAAATGAGTGAAACAGAATTCAAACGAAAAAATCTGTCTGAATTCATTTAATCTTGTTTCAATTTCCGTATTCAGATTGAATTGTAATGTTAGATAACAAAAAGGAAAGAATTATTCTCTCCTATTAATTTTAACTTTTCATGCAAAGAGTCAGCTGACTGTGGTGCACGTATGGAGATGCTTGATTATTATTATTATTATTTGTGTGTTTCCTGCTTTGTATCCTGAAGAACCGGGTCCAAACTATGGTCCTTAGGATCTATCGAAGATTTGTCATTGATAGCATTATTATTATTATTATTATTATTGTGTTAAGTTTCCTTCTTTGTATCCTGTAGAGCCAGGTCCAAATTAGGGTCCTTAGGCCCTATATGAGAAGTGTCATTTAATTGATAGCACTTTTCTTAGTATATTGGATGTTCTTAGTACGGCGATTTTCTAGGCAACTTTTATGTTGATATTGCCTGGCACACTGTTAGTAAAATTGTCAATTCCTTTTTTTCACGAGGCCCAGAGCTCCGATTACTACTGGTACAGTCTCAGTCCTCATTCCCCACATGGTGTTAATATCAATGTTCATGTTCTTGCATTTGGACAATTTCTCGAGAGGTTTCATGGAGGTTTTCCTCTCAGATGGTACTGCTATTTCTATAAGCATACAATTCCTGAATGTCTTGTCTTTTATGATAATATCAGGTCTGTTGGCTTTTATTTCTCTGTCAGTTTGAATTGGCATGTCCCAGAGGATAGTTACATCGTCAGTGGTTCCGATTCTGTGCTTCTTGCATATCTTCCAGTGCACATATGTCGCTACGTTTTTATGTATGTGGGTATATTATTTTTTTTTCTAGTTTTGGAGAACCTCAGAGAATATGCTTGACAGTTTCATCATATTTTCCGCAGATTCTGCATTTAGGGTTAGTTTCATCCTTGATTATGTGACGGTGAGAGGATCTGGTTTCGAGGCTTTGGTCTTAAGCTACATTAATTGGGCTTTATTATTATTATCATTATAATTCAAAAGCTTTCTTTAATGTCCTGCTGTGTTCATCCATTGCGCTGAATCACTCTCTTGAACTTGATGGCACTATGAGTACGTGATGGATTTATTTAATGGGTATAGTCCACCTATGTGAGTGGTGGAAAGAGAGTCTTTTCCTCTTATATCATGAGCTTGCAAGGGATTTCGCTGTTGTATTTTTTCCTCCTTTTCTTGATCAGACCAGGATCACCTAATACCACTGATATTGTTGTTGTTTTCCAATGTTCTACGTCATCTCAAATTATATGTCTATATATTTAGTGTGTTTTACTATAGAATTCAGGGAAGTGTTGGTTTCGATGGGAACAATCGTGTCGATAAGCTAACAATTTATGACCTTCTTGTCCATCAAGACTTTACCTGCTCTGTTGTCCTTAAATTCTCTTTTGGTTTTCATTTCCCCGCTACATAGAATAATTGCACATGTCAGTACTAATTTTTATTACGATTGAGACTTTCTTCAACTCATTGATGTTTCGACCGAAGGATGAAGGTCATATCTCAGTTCCTACCCGGAGAGAAGAACGCAATGATTTCTTAGAGGACGAACCATTCCAACCAGAGCTGGCATCTGGGCGCCAGAAATGGTGAGGGGTATCACGAAAAAAATTTAATTCTGGATATGATAATAAACTGCGTCCGGCAGCTAGGCCTCTGATGTAGAGTTTGGGGGTTTAGAAGTGCGAGGAACCACATCTTAATTGCTGTTGTTTTCAGATCAACCCTGATCCCAGGTGGTAGCAGGTCCCAGACATGGGCAAAGCGAATCCCCAAATATTATAAAATTATAAAAACACATTTTTATAGTAAAATTGCGAGCAATATATTTATATATATATATATATATATAAAATACCAACAATACGTTGTTATAATACAATTCCTAACAATACCTATTTATAGTAAAATGACCAGCAATACGCACATACTAACAAATTTTAGCGACTTAACGCAAATTCTTTTAAAATTCTACCAACAACCATGTACAGGCATTCATTGCATTAATCCATATAATATCCTACAATTTCTTAAATCGAACTGTATTCCAAAATATATGTTCAAAAACAGCATATCAACGCCTCCAGTAATTATGCCTACGTATATGTATATGCACAAAAGTTGTGTATCTATCATCTATTCTAATTGTGATAACATATGTTTATTTTTTAATTACAAGCTTGCAAGAAAATTAATTTTCCGCATTTAATGTCTCACAAGGATTTGATCCGCCATTAAATAGACAAATCAATCAATGTGAACTGTTGCGTGGTATATTTTTAAAATTTCTCTTGCCAGATCTTGTTACATCTGCATTAGTATTATTGTGCATGGTATCATCTTGCCAGAGAGAAATCTTTTAGTGCCAAATTACCAAGTGTTATTTATGAACATTTGGGCCGCATCATTTAGGAGGTTTTGTGGGTGATATATGTGGTTCCGATGAAAGGAATCTTTTGTAGCTGTGAGATGCTGATTTTCGGTTCCCCTAACAATGAAAATGTGTTTATTATTATTATTATTATTATTATTATTATTATTATTATTAATAATAATATTTTCTTTGATTTCTGGCGTTTACACATTTCTTTCCGGGTCCCTCCCAGGTACCTAAGGTTAGAAATGGCATCATGACACTTTCCACTGACAAAAAAAAAAAAAAAAAAAAAAAAATTACATAGATAAAGCTCTTCTTAAAGTGTGGGCTGTACTTGTCA